CCTCTTTGCAAACACATTATTTATAGGTAACAGAGTCCTCCAGTTTGCAGAGCAGAGTCTTCAGCACATACCAAGGGCCAAGTACATGACCATTACTGGGAGATAATGCCCTGCTTCTAAGTGGTCTTCCCTAGGACTCCTGACAGTTAAAATGCAGCTCCCAATAGTAGGCGTGAAATTTGTACGTAAGTTAAATTATCCTTGATTAGTGCTAGTATTGATAACAAGCTACAGGTAAGCATTTGAGCTGGGTCCTCATCCCTTTCTTCTCTATGGCTGCTCTGGCAGCAACTCAATGTCCACTTAATACTGTGGTTTCCGTTCAGAAAGACTCTGATCTCCACAAATGAGGCAAAAATCCCTCCACAGTATAGGTCACATAATTAAATACTAGTACCCAGAATTATTTATGAGACCATATAGCTATGTAAATTGAGCACTTGAAGCATTTTCATAAGTATTTATGAGTAACCATGAGAAGATCAACCCAAGCTGCCAGTTGAAAGCAAGGGTTGGTTTTATCTAAAATTAGGCACCCTCCAGTTAGCGAGAGGGCTTTTGTCCAGGTTAACAGCTGGCCTCATACCTTTGAGAGGCCCGCTTTTTAGGTTGTTTTTTTTTTTAACACAAGGACTTAGAGAATAAATGCCACCAATTTAGTGCAAGAGAAGAAGCTGTCAATGCAGTTACAAGGACAGTGTGGAGGAATGTGCCATTGTGTCTTTGCAATTCAAGGGCAAAGCCACACTGGTGGCCACGGACATGTGCTTCCTGTCCCAGGGGCTATGCAGGTTATGGGGACCATGGAGGGTTAACAGGGTCATGGAGCATCTGTCAGGGGCCTGGAGGGGCTCTTCTTACCCCACAAAGGCAGCATCACTTGGGGCAGAACTGGCCCTTGGGTTTGGATCACTCACATGATCTACTGGTAGTCCCTCACACCATGACTTGCAGCTCCAGGGTGGTATCTTCTGTGATGCTGCTACCTTCTTTAAGAGTCTACATTCTCCCACTAGGGAGGCTAAATAGAGAACAGGGAGGTTAAAGAAAAATAAAACCAAACAAATAAAATCCCTTTCATAATGACTCTGAAGCAAGCCCATTAGAAGATGCAGAGATACAATTAGGTGAGGACCAGAAGAGTCACACAAAAGATGTCTCTGCTCCCCACATGGTCTGGTTTTACATATAATAAATACAGCCAGGCTGAGAAAGACCCTGTAAAGTATCATGGGCATCTGCTTCCCTCTGCAAGAGGCTCACTCACGTGCAACAGCAGCCGCCTCCTGGGCCAGGCTCAGCAATACTGCCTCACAGACACGCGTGCACATACATGCATGTGTGTGTGTGTAATCCTGAGCTCTCAATGGAAGCAAAAGACACTGCACCCCCCAGAACCTCTGTCCTCCCTATGGGCATTAGCCCATCTCCTCCAAACTTGGTACTTCATCACAGTGCCTAACCCCAATGGGTGATTCTCCGTGGAGAAGCATCAGTGAGCAGACTCAGAAAATTTTTCCCAGCTTGGTCTGTATTTATTCTGTTTATTTTCCATGTTCCTTCTCTTTACCCAGAACCCCTTTTTCCCCTTTCTCTCTGGCCCCTGTCTCCAGATACCTTCAAGCTTTCACAAGGAAAGAAACTGCTTTCAAGTAAGAATAAAATAAACAAGGTCATTGGAAAAGATAAAAAATAATGAGTTCCTTTCTGTAGGACTTCTTACTCGTCACTCCCTCGCGTTCCCCCCTTTCATCTCACTCTAGAAAAAGGAAAATAAATCTTTACTAATCCCTGTAGAGCCCTGCCTACAGATCAGCCTGAAAATGGTAGTTTCCACGGCCTCAGACTCCATGAAAACAGATTGATTGCCCATTCAGTAACACCTCCTTCTTCCTCCTGTCCCAGAGCCACCTCCCCATGCAGGAGCATTGCAGCCCACCTATATGGGTCAGGCTCAGACCAGTCAATGGCCACCAGTATGACATCTTCTCCCGTTCTATTTATTGGTTTAAAAGTCCTAGGGATTTGGAAAGTGATGAAAGTTTCCGAGATGGGTTTTAAATAGTTGATTAAAGAGCAGTCAGCAGAGAAGTAGGAGGAAGCTCTTGGAGAATGAAGATGCTTTTGGCTAACAGTTACAACAAGGTTGCATCCCGTTCTCCAGGAGCTTACAACGCCATAGAGCACTCACCAAAAAGGTTAACTTCACCAGAAAACAGACTTGTTCCTACATCCATGTGGGGAGAAAAGGAGTTTTAGAAGTTGAACTTTTTTGCTCTGCCACTTTGTAAAAAGGAATATTATTCTAGTCAATGTTCTGAAATGACATTTCAGTCTGAAAGTGAATAAATCATTTCATTTGATCTAAAATTAATCGGGGTGGGGAGGAGAAGGGTTTATTTTAGTAAGGGAATAAAAAGAATCAAAGGGTCTTTACTTTGCATTGATCCAAACCACTTAATTTTTTCTTCTTCTTTTTTTTTTTTTTTTGGTGGATGACTGAGCAGTGAGCTGAGACGTTTTTCATTTGTTCAGCTCGCCTTAGCTGCTGGACTTGTGGGGTGGGGAAGAGGTTATTAAATAAAAGAACGGCCACAGCATCATCTTACCCTCTTCAAGGTGCTTTATGGCTCCTCTAAATGATAATGCCACATGATGTTTAACCTCAAATCATGTTTTAATGTTAGCAATAGAGTTTGGAAACACCTTTGTCTGACATATTTGGCCCAGCCTAGATGAGTGGTCTTCAGATGTGTTGATCCTGGACAGGCAAGATGGTTGGACATCCCCAGCTCTGGTGTTGTGAGTGTTGGTGTCATGAAATATGTGTTAAGTAAAATAGGGTAAAAGAGGTCACTCCCTACAATGGACCAGACAAGCTAGGACAATCTTGGGTTCAGATTTGATGGCTGGCCATCTCCAAAAGAGAGCTACTGGGGAGGGACTCTTCATTAGGGACTGTAGTGATAGGACAAGGGGTAACGGGTTCAAACTTAAACAGGGGAAGTTTAGATTGGGTATAAGGAGGAAATTCTTTCCTATTAGGGTGGTGAGGCACTGGAATGGGTTGCCCAGAGAGGTTGTGAATGCTCCATCCCTGGTGGTGTTCAAGGCCAGGTTGGACGTAGCTTGAGTGATATGGTTTAGTGTGAGGTGTCCCTGCCCATGGCAGGGGGGTTGGAACTTGATGATCTTAAGGTCTTTTCCAACCCTAACTATTCTGTGATTCTATGATTCTACTGCCCTGTGCGATCAGCAGCATGTTATGTCTCCAGCTGGACACCAGAACACCCCTCTATGATTGCCCTAGTCCTTGCACTGATCTGGGCTGTAGCCCCAAACTCATCTGAGCCAGTCCTGACAGCAAAGAACCTTCAGACCCTCCTCTTCCTCCCTGATGCAACCAATTCCAACCTCAACGTTCACTCTGTGGCGTCCGCCTGCTCTGGGGTTGGGGAAGTCACATTGTTACCTTGTGCATCCAGCCCTGGCCAGCCCTGCCCAGACAAGACCTTGCTCAGCCCCAGGGGCTATTTGCTGCTCCAAGCTGAGCAACATTGCTACCGTGCTGCCTACATGGCCCGCACTGAAAGCCGCTGATGGACTCCAGAGCTGATGAAATCAAAAAAGCTTTAAATGAAAATTGCTCTGAAGAGCACTGCAGAGAGGGGGGAGGCAGGAGACAGGAGGCAGAGAGGAGCTCCACACCTGTTTTGTTTCATGTCCTTTAAAGTTCCTGTTATGATGTTTTTGTTTTAATTAAATTTTTTTTTTTTAGGAGGCTGCTGGGATTTACTGTTCCTTGTCCTTGCTGGAGGTGAGGTGCACGGAGAGAATTCAAAAGCTGGTGGAGGGACGAGGGAGGAGGTGCCACAGCCACAGGAGAATAGTGCAAGGTGATAGCAGTGGCATGGCAGGATCCGATCTTGCCCAGCCTTGTGTGCACAGATGAAGGGGAGATGCAGGAAGAAAGCATGGATTCTGATCAAGACCCTTAGATAGGGAAAAAATAGTTCCCCATTCCCGTGCTCGTGCCTTGCTTATCTAAATGTGTTGCTTTACCAGCCCTGTGACTTAAGGCTGTGGCTGGTGGGTGAGAAGCCTGGCCACATCTGCTTTTGGAGGCACAGATCTATGTAAAACTAATACTTTCTCATGCTAAAACGTGCCCTAAAACCTTTACCTACAAAGAAATGCTGTGCTTTAATCCCAGCCGGCCTGAATTTTCTGTGTATTTGTAAAACAAATGATCTTTCCACGCTTAGCCAAAGCAGTTATTAATGTTTTCACACCAGAAGACACACGCATTGCAATTTCAGTACCTGTTAGTGATGAATAATAAACACCTAAAAAAAAAAGAAGAAAACCAGCATTTCTTCATAGGAGATTGGTAACAAGAACACAGGGCTGCAATTAAAACCACTGTTTGACCTGTGCTTGTCTTGAACCCCCCCCCCCCCCGAATCTCCTTGGTGAGACAGAAACATTACCATGGTCCTCCTCCCTTCTTCCAGTTGTAGCACCTGGCTGAGGCAAGGTTATCTGATCATGATAAGTGGGTAAATGATAGCAGTGAGATAAGCAGCGCTCTGCTCCACACCAGGGCTTTGCACAATATCATGGTTCATTATAAAGGAACGCAAATACCCTGGCAGAATCCTAACCTAATGGAAGTCTTATTTTCCAGAGTAACAGTTCATTACCGGACTTGATGTGCAGCCTAAACCCCTAAGGTGGAAACCCCCCCCTACACAGTGCTTCTGAATGAGCAGCAAAATCCTAGTGGGCTTGAACATTTGCAATTCTGCTACATCTCTTTGCAGGAAGGAAAATGCTGCTTGCTCTGAATAAAAGGGCTTTTTAAGACTCTAAGGGTTTTCTTAGGACTCTAAGGGTGGATGCTGTGCTCACAGGGTGGCAGGTGCAACGCAAGGACCACTGCCCAGCCTGGTACTCTCCTGATGGCACAGAAGCATCCATAAGCGGATACCTGTGTAACCTGGCATAGGAGATCTGACTAGCAGCTTGCAAGCCTGAGTTCAAACACATTTATAAACATGGCAAGATGAGCTGGGAGAGCTATGGAGCCCCAGGTACCTGTGATCAGTAAACCTTCATCTCCTTGCAGGAATCTCAGCTTTGCATGCTGCCCTCAAGGCAATGCTTGGGAGCAGGATGAGGGCTGTGATTACAGGGGAGACTTTCCAAAGGCATATATGAAATAAGAAGAGAAAAAAAAAGCCTTCTCCCCCAGCACGTAGTGTCACAGCCTTCCCCTTCCCCGGGACAGCCATCATGGACTGCAGTCTGTGGACAACCTGCCAGGGTCCTGCAGAGACACGTCTGGTAAAATAAAGCAACTCATCCTTGCTTCCAGCAGTAAAAGACAAAATATTGTCATCGATGCCTTTTTCTCACCTCATCTGTTCAAAAATACAGGGGAAAAAATAGCAAGACACCCAAGTGAGAGACTTTCCACTGCAAGGGCACGCTGGGATCCCCAGCCTGGAAAAAGATAACACCTTCCAATCAAGTGATGCTTTCATCCTGGCCCAACTGAGCATGAGCAAAACAGTGGGAGCAGAGCATGAGTCCAGCCCGAAACAATGCCTGCTTCTATATCCCAGCCCATCTCTGTCTCTGCAAGCTGGTGATAATCCAGGTGCTTCAAGATGTAAAATACACTTACACTCCTCCAAAACAGAAGGGAAAAAATCCCCAAACCAGGCAGTGATGCAAAGCAACAGTAACTGATCAGGAAATGGGCAGAAAAAATACTATTTTCTACTCCAACCTTATGCTGGAGAGCCTACCCTCTACTTTGGTGATGCAATAGATACATTTTTCAGTCCACCCATAAGTGGCTCATGAATCTGCTTACATTGTTAGAGGATGTCACAGATGAAGTCCCATGGCTTTTGGTAAGACTACAGCTCTTCCATGGAAGAATACAAGGAAGGCTCCTTACTCTCCCAGGTCTGCAACACCAAGCAGTGCAGCTCCCTTTGGGACAGGACAAATCATCTTCTGGAAGAAACTTGCTTCTGCACAGACTACAGAGAGACCTAACATGAGCACTTACCTAATTTACATGATGGGTGAGGTGAGAGGAATCCCAGCCCATATGTTTAAACACATCAGTTCTTCTTTCATGACATCCTTCACAATTATTAGTAGCGCCTCTTCCCAGCTTCTTTATCCAGAATATTATTGAATGTGTCCATTCACTGCAACAGGAAGGTTTGCTGTAAATAAAAAGAAGGAAGGAGTGCTCCTGTGTGGCCCAGCATTGCCTTTGAGCCGTGCTCCCTCTTCCCCAGCACATTGGCATTTTGTCTCTTTTCTACCTTCCTTCTCAAAGTCAATCTCTGTAGGCTAAGCCCCAGTGAAATGCAGTAATTTCCTTTTCCACAGCACCGTCTGAGGTGACAAAGACATCCATGAACATATATTTAATGATATTACCATTAACAGCCCATCTTTCCTAGTCCTATCTGGCTATAATTGGGATCCTTCTCAATCATGGATGTCAATTCCAGCTCCCAGAAGAGCTGAAAAGAGCAAGAAAGCAAAAATTAAATCACTCCTGGCTTCCAGTGAACAGGCTGAGGATGACATGATGATGAAGGAGAGATATGCCTTACTGTCTCTTTAAACAGTGATCAACAAACCACAGGTACCACATAAAACAGAGCCCTGATCCCCTAACCAAGACTGCCTGACTGGTGGGACTGCTTGCAGGCATCAGCAGCCATGCAGAAGGGACAAGTTCTGATGTCAGCAGAGCCCTGGAACTGAGTGCCTGCCAAGTGCCCTGAGGACCCATTACCATCACCCATGTAGGATAGTTGCTGGAGTAGACACAGTCCACACAAGGTCTAGGGAGGAACAAAACACTTGGTACCTAAGAAGGGAGGTACTTGCTGGATCTGTGAGCTTCTCAATTCTACCTCTAGGCAGGTGGAAGAACTGCTCCACACCTAGAGATCAGGATGGTGCCTGGCACTTTTGAATGTCCAAAGACCAAAGCATACGATATAAAAATACAACCACAATGTCCTTATTGCCACTTTCACCTAAGCTTGAGAGTGAATGGGAGTGATGCACTTCTGCTTTAGCTTCCTGTTCTACAAAACAGGACTAACTGCAACAGGCCACCTTCAGAAATCACTTAAGGCTCTTTGGAGAAAAGGAAACCTAAAACTAGTTGGTCTATTTATAATCTTCACAGGTAATGGCATGCTAATATGATTCATTAACACTCAGACACTGCTCATTAGTGTCTTTTCACTCTTTCTTCACAAAGCCCATATTTCTATTTTACACATAATCTGTTTTATTAAGCAGTTTCTTAATAGAAAAAAGTATTATCTTCCATGCAGGTTCTTATAAATTCCCTCAAATTTAATTAGGCCCCAAAAGGTTCAAGGAAGTTTGGGTATGCTTCTAAACTTTAGAAAACTCACTTGCAACTTCACTTCCAAAGCACTTCAATTCTACTGATCACTGCTACATGCTCCACGTAACATCAGACAATATAATTATTCTGGTTTTCAAGATCACAGCTATCCTGAGAAAGAAAAGGGAGTTTGTACTATCTCCTGATAGCCAAAACCCCAGCATCAGCTTCTACAAGAACATCCATTTTCCAGCCCTTGGAAAATAAGAACAACTGAGCAGGACTTAAGAAGTTCTTCCCAGCTGATTTTCTACACTGAAACATGAAACCTCCCAGGCAATGGATTCTCCTCCTGGACTTGGTTTACCTTGCCATGCTTGGAATGCTTGATGTCCTGAACCCCAGGATTGCAGTAGTGCTCGAGGTCTACTTCAGACATGCTTGATTCAGTACTGGAAAAGCAAATGAACTAAAGCTCATCTTGCCTGGTGCTTCCAGCAGGAGCCAGGGCATTTCAAAGCCATGAACAGAAAAATCAGTCTGGGACCTGCCTCACACCAGACTCCACATCCTCATTCAATCCTAGGTCTTATCCAAATTTCAGACTTTGTGTGGCAACACCCCCACTGGACCATTTTTCTGCTAGCAGGCTTTGCTAGAGAAAGCATCCCAGACACGAGTACTGGTGAACCTGCAAGGCATCCAGATGCGTCCTTGCCAGCCAGGATACATCCCCAGCCCAGGACCTGAATCCTCACTGGCAGTCCAGCAGTTATCCTTCCCAAGGGCAAACATCATCAAGCGCTTTGATGCTACAAAGACAAAACCCCATGTAACAGTGGCAACACACATTTTGAAGCCAAGTGGTTGTCGCATGTAGAGCTCTCACTGTGCCCGGGCTTTGCACTGCTGCCTTGCAAGCTGCAGCCTCTTTTCTAGCTGTCAAGCTTTCCACAAGCAAGCAGGATTTGCATTCCTCTGTAGCTTTGCTATCCGCTCCCTTTCCCGCTGCTACACACACACACACACACACACACCCCATCCCTGCCAGGTAGAAGATTTTTGAGCTGCCATTCCCCCTCATTACCATAAAACAGTTAGCTACGTATTGTTCTACTTTATTCAGAAATTGCAATTTCATCTGTAGCTTTAAACAAATGGGAAAATGTTCTAAAACATGGGCTTTTATTGAATTAAATATTAACATAAATACAGAGCTGAATGCAGCACTGGATTATTAATTTTAATATTTAATCCAACCAGAAGCCTCATGGTTGTTTTAGGGTGGTTTGTTTTCTTTAATCCAATTCATTTCCCATCAGCACTAAAATTAAGTTTTCTTAATGAAGGAAGGTGATCAGGAAAGTGTACTCTCGTGGTACAGAATATTAGGCACTGGTGACTGAGAGCATACCAATAATGAAAAGAGAAAGCAATAGCAGTAATGATACCCTTGTGTTGGCGCAGACAAGAATAAAAGAAGCATAATTAATATGATGCACAGCTCATATGAATACAAGCCAGAGGAGATTAAAGAAAGCAGGTGACCCTTAAGTGTTTATCATTCAGAGTGAAAACAGCACAGATGGCTGACTTTGAGCAAGACGCCTTTAAACACAAGTTCACCTAGCCAGCAGCAGCAGAAATGCTTAAGGAGGCCCCTTCAGCCCAGGTCCATGCCTTCCAGCTGGTGTGGCCATCCCCATGTCAGTGCTGCACCATGACACCGAAGGCATTGGGGCTTAGCAGGGACATTGAGAGAGCTGCACATGCCAGCGCTAGAGGCGTCCTTTAAGATGATGCTCCTCCTTCCAGCTTGATCTGGCACATCTGCCAGCTGTCAGGTCCAACAGCCCTGTGCCTTTGAGGGATACTTGTGGTGTGCTCTGGAGGAAGGGTATTGGAAGTGCTGAGAAAGAGAACAGGTTGGACTTATTCATGAGAAGCACAGCATTTCTATCTCTGAACTCAGCCTGGGTCTGATGTTTCTTAGCCATCCTGCTGGCTGCTAGTTGCCGACTGGGCTGTGTGTCTGGATTTGAGCAATGACATTTTAAGTTGGGGGAAGGTAGAAAAAGAAAAACAACTTGGCAGGAAAATGCTTTGGGAAAAGTATTTTACAGCAGCTGCAGCTAGAGTAAACCAGTCTAGCGCTTTTTTATTTACACCAGCTGGGGGGATCTGGTCCAGAAGCCTGGGAGGATTCTTCCTTCCCCAAATGGAGCACCCTTTCTTCTGCCTTTTTTTTTAAATCCAGGTTTTATATACTCCTGTTCTCTGCCTTTATAACACAATAGCCAGTTGCACTTCTATAGGACACATCACAGTGGGCAGAGAAAGCCACCTTTGCTGATATGTGATCTGTGTCTTGGGGTTTCTTTGGCTTCTCGGACAATCGCTGTTTCTCACAGTAACTACAAGGTGGCAGGTGAAGTTCTTGCTTTGGAAAGTTGCTCTGTGATATGAGCTGGGCATGCAGAGAGAGAGAAAGAGAGGGGCAGCTGCTGAAGCTAGCAAAGGAGGACAAGAGGCATCCAAGAGTGGAGGAGACTGAACAAGAGAGACCAAGCCAGTGGCAGAAGGTGGTGAGGCTTCACTGGGATTCAGAGGCTTCCAAATGAGGAAGCAGACAGTGGCTGACCACTGATGCTGAATAGTAACAAGCTTCCCAATGCGCTGGGCACCTACCTGCAATTAAATTCAGGCAGCACTGTCTATCTGGAACCAGGTTGGGAATGACAGCACCTGAGATGGCTCTTAATGCACCCTACAATAGCTTCCAAAAGCCCTGAGGACCCCTTGCATCCAATACCCATAAAGCCACAGTCATTAGCACTGGAGAAGAGGGAGAAACCATACAAAGGGCTGCCAGGCAGACTGGGTCAGTGAGTTTAAGATGGCATGACCCTGCGAGGATTAACCCTGTTTGACTAGCTGAAGGTCTGACTGTCTCACCTTCCCAGCAAGCCAATGAAAAGCCTGTACATACCTGATTAGGTTGTGATGGCAAGGCACAGGTATTTTCCTTCCCAGGCTGACACCAAGCAGAGCTGTGCACAGGCTCATCAGGCACCGAGAGGAAAAATGGCCCATTCATGCCAACACATCCTTATGTTTCATTAAGCTCTTAAGCTCCTATTTGAATTTGAGCTGTAAAACATTGAACTGATTAAAAAAAAAAGCCCTCCTTAATCCAGAGGAGAGGGCTGGATGAGTGTTTCAGCCAGCCATGTCTTTGCTGCATGGAAGCAGCTTTCCCTATCAACTCTGCCATTTCCCAGGGCAATGGAAGGGGGATCCCTTTCCCACAGCAGAAAAGCCAAAGCTGTGTTCTGCCAGGTTCCACTAGTTTCCTGCCTTGTGTTAGTGGCAAAAGGGGCAGAAAACACAGGAATAAATCTTTCTGTGCTACCTGTTTCTTGCCAGAGAGGGGCCTGCAACGCAATCCTTTGACAATAATGTAGCGTCAAGATTATGACCTGTCACTACAGAGCCAGCAAAACACACTGACCTCCAGCATCTGGCTGTTGGGGAGCTGGAGATGAAAGAGTGCCAATACAAAGACAGCAAAACTTGCCTTGGAAACAGTGACATGATGATTATTGCTATTGCTTATAATCACACTTAATGGTGGCACTGAAGAGTACCATTGCCATAGGGAATTGATTTATCACCAGCCCATCCAGGTCTGACAGAAAGCAACAAAGACAAATGTCCCTAAATGCCAAGACAAGTCAACAATGCGCATGTTGACATCTTGGTCACAAAGCGGACACCTGCATTAAAGATGATGTTGCTTGGCCCAATATTACATCTCACATTGTGGAGGAAAATAACATAATTAGGGGCTGCTGTGGCTGTCCTTATTAATAACGTTTCAGTTTTTCATTTTCATGCATATGTTGCTTGCACATCAGGGTCCACAACCAAGGCCTGGGGTGATGACCATGTGAGCAGCTAACGCCCTGTGGTCTCCTGCATAGAAAGGTGTGAAAAATATGGCAATCAAAGGTGAAAATCAAGTCTATGAAAGGATGTGACTGCAGCAGCTTGGGAAGAAAAAGGGATCCAGTTTTGCATGGCAGAACAGGCTGGCCCTGCACTGAGCATCATTAACTGCTTCGCACTATGGAAAGAACTCATGAAGAAAGGTGGGAACATCTTCCCCACAAAGCCAGGAAAAGCCTGGACACCCAAACTGCTGGTGCACAAAGCAGCTGGGGTCTGGTACACAAGTAGGTCTGTGCCCGGGAAGGAATACAGCTGGGACAATAAAATCTGTCAAGCTTTGAACCAGGTTCTCCCAGATGCGTTCTCCATGCAAAAACAGCCACAGTGTTCCTGTGCTGGCACAGCTGCATGGCGCTGAGCTGAATCCCAGCGACTCACCCGAAGGTATCCACTGGCTCTCTGTTACTCCTCCTTATGCAGTAGAGGCAACCCAGAAGGATGAATTTGTGACTGGCAGACTCCAGGAAACCCTGTGGAGCAGAAGGAATCTGCAAAACAAGTATGAGCAGATGAAGGATGGTCAGAGGGTTTTAGTTTGGTTTAGAATGGTGGTTTATTTGCTCCGTACCTGGTTACAAGTGCTAATAAAGCAGGTCTTCACTCTCCTAGGAAAGCAGAAAAAGAAGAAGAAAGCAGAAGAATAAGAAGAAAATGGTGACAAAAATTCTCCACTTCAGGTAAGACTTTCCTACCCCTGCCACTGCAAAAAGCCACTTACGAGACTTTTTTTGTTGAGATTTAGAAGAAACTTGAACAGTATTGCTGCTTTGGAGGGGAAGATAACATCACCATGACCACACTTCCTACTCCACAGAAACAGGGAGAGAAAAAAAAGTAACAGGGCACAGAAAATACTGGTAAACTGATAATACCATAGAGATTTCTTGCAGCGTGATGTGTACAAGCAATCACTAACCATGCTCAGAGGAGCAAGACAGCTCTGGCACATATTTACCACAGAGAGGGGCTTGTGTGGGCTGCCAGGACACAGCAGAGGGCTAAATCCCACTAACCATGCCATCTCACAGTAAAAGCTGTTGCTGCTCCAACACCCACTATTCCCACTACTGTGTATTATGGGTACATGTCACCAACAAGGCCACGCGCAATTCTCAGGAGTCATGGCATGACCAAAGGATAACGTTGCAGAGGTGTGTAAGGGAGTGGGGGCTGGATGCTCGGACCAGTATGGATGGACAAGAGCTAAATGCTACCCTACTCATATATACACACAACCCTTATACCCTCCTTATATATGTATTACCCTCCTCATAGAATCACAGGATCAGCTGGGTTGGAAAGGACCTTTAAGATCATCAAGTTCAACCTTAAGGCAGGAAATTCCTGCTGGGCATGTCTTTACCCTTCTCTTATTTTCTTATGGACTCTCTAGCTATTGTTCCTGTCGGTAGCTATTTCTTGTCTTGCTTTTGGCTTTTACTTGTCCCATTTCACAGAGATGGAGAGCAGGCTTACCAGCAAAGCACTACAAAATGTGTAACTGGGAGGGAGTGATCCCTCAAAGTCTCTCCAGAGCAATCAGATGCCCAAACTACAGGTCTCTTTCTTTAGCAAGGCTAGGAAGAATTTGTAAAGCCAGCTCAGCTCCAGCAGGGATGGACACTACCTGCCCCAGGGCGCTGTCAAGGCTGAGCCATCAGAGCACATATTGCAAATGCACAGCACTAACAAGGAGGCAGTGGGAACCATCAGGCTACCTGTCATCCTCACATCCCTTCGTAGACAGTAAAATCACTGTTGCGCAGAGGCAGAGCAGCAAGTGTGGGGTGTACAGGGGGACAAAGAGATGCCTTCTCCCCTCCCAGGTCTTTGTAGCATCCCCTTGAGCAGCAGGATGCTGCCCCTGTGGGGTACCAGGGGACAGGTTAGGCATTTCTGAACGCCACCTTAAACTTACTCGTTACATCCTCACCCCTTCCCTCCCCTCTACCTTGTGGAAAGCAGCGTTGTTGCCCACCATTACAACCTCTGGGATCCGACAAAACACTGTTTTGTCATGCACACTTTCCTAACAACAAACTTCCTCTGTTCTAGAAAGCTGGAACCAATCATCATGTTCCTCCTGCCTCATTTTCTTCTTCCTTCAACTCAAATCAGTGATGGGCAACCAGTGGCTTCCAGCCTGACACTAAGAGCTGTGCAACACAAGCATAGAAGCACAGTATACTTTGGGTTGGAAGGGACCTTCAAAGGTCCTAGGGATGTATCAGGGGAATGGGGGCTGCTGAGATGCCTTTGCATGTGGTTGCAGAAGTAGGAAGCTCCAGTCAAAGAAGTTTGTCTCTAAAATACCCATGAAGTTCCAGGACACCCCGTTTTTCCCCCCAGTTTCTCTCCATGGGTGCTATTAACACCGTTCTGCTCTGAGGCTGCAGAAATGCCATTTACCACGAGAGGACACCATCCTACCTCCGACTTCCTCCACACACAACGGCTGGGTAAAAATATCCATAATAATATTACAGCGACCGACTGGAACACACACGTTGGAGAGGAGAGCAAGAAAGAAACAATATGTTTATCATCCTGCTATATCCAGCAAGAACACTGCCCTCCCATTTATTTATGCAGCAAGCAGCCCTTTAAATATACAAATCGCAGGAACATTAGGCTGTAATAGGCAGACCAGGGATTAGCCTGAATATACTTCATCTGGTAATTTGTGAGTGCCTGTGTGTGAGAGGGTACGTATGTGTGCATGCGTGTGTGTTGGTTGACTTTAAAATGGAATAAACCACATTTAGCAGCTAGGTAGCTATGGAAACATAACCAAAATTGTTCTACCACCTTTCTGCCGCACTGCTTTCTGCAGCCCTGCAAATACTGTCAAGGGAGGACTGAATATTGTTTCTTATAAATAATAGAATGTAAAGAGCTACAGAAAGATTCATTAAATTAGGATCTTGAAGTGGAGATAGTTCAGGGGAAAAAAAAAAAAAAAGCCCAGTAGCTGTAATAGTTTCTGGTGACTTAGCAATGGCAAGGGACTTTATTTTGTTCTTTTGTCTGTATTTTTGCAATGTACAGAAAGATGCAGGCTGAGGAAATGTACGTATTTTGTTGCATGTACTTGTGGGGAGGTAAGGATGTGTGTGTATATATATAAATATACATGCACAAACACAGTCCAAACGGCATATGCACAAACAGAAATCTATCAACAGCATTTTGGTGCTTAAAAAGCAAAGGGCTTCA